CATTAACGATCATTTTATTGATGATGATAATGATGTACGGGTATTTTATACCTCCTCATTTATCCATTTCACCTAAAATTGAAAATTGAAAAATTGAAAATTGAAAAAAAATTGAAAAATTTAATCGATTATCGATGAAGGCTATTTAGGATTTTCTTTTTAATTTAGAAAACATTAGTGAAATCATATATTCAATCATTCAATTTTTTAATGGTTTAAATCTTTCTTTTCTTTTTTTCTTGTCACCAAATTTAGTCAATCATTTATTTAAATCGTTTCCTTTGTCAATTTCAATGATCAATTTTCATTTGAAATTCAAAAAATTACAATTTAGATTTTCTTTTAAATAAAAACGAATCTAATTTCATTCGAATAATAATAATAATAACATAGAAGCATCATTGAACATGGAATTGATCAACCGAAAAGTTTGTAAGTTTTGAAATTTTTGTTGAATTTTTTTTAAAAAATTGATTTCTAATTGATTTTGTTCTTCAAAAAAAGATTTCTTCCTATGTATCGGATTATTGATTGTATTCATGTTAATGAATGAATCGGTTGATGCACAGAAAAAACGTCGTAATCGTAATAAAAATAAAAATGGTGCCGATCAATGTCATCAAAAAGAAATAATTAAATGTTTAGATAAATTAACATCATTAGGTAAAGAAGATGATCCAACATCTATTATTACAACATCACAAGGATTGAATAGAATTTGCAAGTAAGTTTTCGTTTTCGTTTTCTTCTTTTATCAACAATCTTAATTTTCCATCATTTGATGTCGACACTGATTTTTGTTGTTGTCATTTTTTTTACATTACAAAAAATACAAAATTTATATTTTTTTTTTGTTCTATCCTTCATCTATTAGGACTATCAAGGATGATACAATGAAATGTGCAAAAGCATATTTTAAAAAATGTGGCACACCATTACATCGAGAGTTAAGCGATTTGGTCATGGATGTTATTATGCATCGTGTCACCCAATTTTGTGACAATAGTCAACAAAAATCAAGTAAGAAAGATCATGTTTTATTATTAGAGTTTAATAATAAAACTGTGTTCGATTGTGACATTGACGATTGATGGTTCCAATCTTTTTCCTTTTCATTTCATAATATTATTTGTCATTGTATCGTTTTTTTTTT